TGTACCATAAAAAGTTCGTGGCGGTCTCACCCCCATAAAAAGTTATAGGGGTTCAAAGTTAATGAATATGCCAATTTTTATACATTTCTAGGCATGTAAATATTTATATAGTCATTCTAAAACAGTATTCAAAGGTAAAACTAATGAAAAATACATAAAAATATTGAGAAAGTTATATAAAACATTATTTAAATATCTTTATCAATAGGGTGGGTTAGGTTAGATTAGGTTAGGTTATCGGGTTTTGTTCAAGTGACCACCCTCTTTCGATCCTCCACCTCCACTCGCTTGAAAATATTTTTTTTATTGAATTTTATTTGAATTATAGTGTATGAAAATTGTCAAAATAATCAACTTTCAACCCCCATAAGCTTTTATGGGGGTGAGACCGTCGCAAAATTTTTATAGGGTTTTATTCAGGTGACCACCCTCTTTCGATCCCCCTACCCCCACCTCCATGTTATGGTACAGTGATGGGGGAGACCTCCTCTTTCGAACCTACCCACCCCCACCCCCATCATCTAGACATTTACCCAGTTGTGTATTTTTTAACAAATAGAAATTACTGAATGTTATAATTATGCACATGAGGTATTTTACTATCGATAATTAAACTTTAATTATTACAATTCATTATTTAACATTACTTCATGTTTTTAATCTTATTCATTAATTAATTAAGTTATAATTATTTATGACTAGTGCTTGTTATTTAGGTACCAATTTCTGTCTACCTTTAATCACGTATGATATGTACATACTACGATTATTAGAACTATAGCAAAGGAGAAGCTACTGAATATATTTTACTATACGTTTGTACGTAGGGAGCTAAGCCATAAATTAGGAGTACAATGAAAATTAGACAATTACCGTATTTCTACCTTATAGCCAACGATAAAAGGCTAAACGGCACCTACAATAATTTTTTCTTGAATAAATTGTTTCCTAATATTAAGTACGTAAGTAAAATTTATTGTCAGGTAACACGCGATCAAATAATATACCGGTAAGGCAAAACAATGCACTCGAAAACTGTTGTCACCATGAGATTCTACGTACTTTTTTACATAATTATCACTTCTCAAACATTTGTAAATACCTTCCTTCTCTCAGGAATTTACGAGCGCTTTTTTATGGTTACATTATTTTATATATTTTAGCAGAAATAATGCCGGAAAGTACCTTATTTGGCAACGCACTCAAAAATCGTTGCCACCAAGAAATACTACGTTCTTTTCTACACAATTTTCACTTCTTGAAGCTTACAAAATATTCCTATTCCCTTCCTATTCCCAACAATTTCACGAGCGCTTTTCTATAGTCTTACGCACACTGCCCGTAATAAGATAAAATTAAACTATTAAAACAAACGTTTGATCTGCCCAAATAATATACAAATTAAGCACATACTTTATCCTATTTTAGTTTTAAGAAATATTATTTTATTGAATTAAAAAAGAAAGAGTGACGCAAATTGTTATGGTAAAGCTAGAATAATACTTTGCATTTCAATTTTACCTTTCAAGGAAAAAGTATTATTAAAAAAATGGTTTGGTATTATTAACGGAAACTTTATATGCTGTTTCTGAAGCACACACGATTGAAACTGAGATCATAAGAAATTTTGTGGAAAAACAACAACGCGCAGATCTTTTAACGAATCCTTTAATCAAGGAATTATATTACTTCCTTTCATCAAATAAAACGAAATAAATAAATAACCGCAAAGAATGTTCCGTGAAGATTCGCCACAAAACCACATAAACCAATATGTGCTATTTGATAGTAGGTATAAGCCACAGATTAATAATTTAAGAATAAAATAATTTCAAAAATGATGAAAACAATTTTGAATTTGAATTTGGAGACACTGAACAACTAAATTTTACCAAATTTGGTTATGAGCAATAAATATCATACGAGTCAAATTTTTTTTGGTAAATCACTAATGTATATGGGAAAAAAAGTACTTTAATCCTTTAACCTGAAGTCTGAAACTTGATTTTTTATTCTCAAAATAAATTTTCTTATTCTGTTTGTAATACCCAAAGATGAACTGAATATTGTAAATAATACAATGACAGTAATAAATAAATATTTATAATAAAGTAAAGATTCATCTTTATTTATTATACTGTTATCAAAATTATCCTTTACACAAAAATTAGTGCTTAAGTTGTTTAACAGTGGAAAGTGAATTGACAAGTATTACAAAACGATAAGAAATGTTTCTACATGCGCAAATGTAAAAATCATGATTACGTTTTATCAATGTACTAAATGAGTTTTCAAAGTACCTAAATAAAGTTTAAATATTTTCAATAAACAAGTACTTACTACAAATAAAAATATAAATCAACAACAAATTCGACTATTTTAGGGTCTACTAAAAACTATTAAAAACGAAATACATTCATTGTTGTTAAACTGGAATTCCATCTAACAATTAGAATTTATTTAACTTCTTAGGATAACTATACCACCAAAAATAAACTCTTTAAAATTTAAAGCGGTATATCTGTCCATTAGGTAGTTAAAAATATATTCATCAACCGGATATCTACCAAATTCTTTTGTGAACAATTGTTATGCTATCAATATATATCTTGACGTGCGTACGTACAATCACTTGTTGGTATTTCCAAGCTGGTCACCCGATTAAATAAATTGATCTTGAACTTAAACTAGTACATACATAATCAACTCATAATCCATTGAAAAAATTATTTGCGTAAATGCCTACATTTATTGTAGTACGTATACTGTTATAAAGTAGATCAAGGTTTATTTTAATCCGGGTATTATGCATATTTTCGGATTATCTGTAATTCTCTTATCGTTTGAGATCTTAAAATTTTAATGTAACAATAACTATTATTATTGTTATTAATGATTTTTTTTTGGTACGCACTGTACATAGTAATAGTTACTGCAAGCAGCGACGACTTGGGTACCAATATAATTGGTCTTGCACTTTTGTATGCGTTTTTAAATAAAACAAGGTCAAACTTGAAGTTCTTGGTAGAATACCTTTTACTAACTTTGGGTACCTTTCACTTTCATCTTAAAAATAAAAGGTCCAGCAGCCGTAAAATAAGAAAGAAATAATGTTTAACTTTCTGAATTTTTACCTGAACTTATCGTTAGGTGATAAACAAACAGAATTAGTATTCTAAAAACATTAAAAACTAATTAAGAATAATTACAATTTATTGCTATTATTTTTTATGTGGAACAAATAAGTACAAGGGTATTTTTAAGTAGTAAAGAGCACGTTCTTCGAAATTGAAATTAAAATTGTTATTTTTAAGTAAATTTAGTTTGATTAATTTTTACGCAATCAATTGATATTAATAAAAATTGTTAGCCAAAAATAAAATCTATTAAACTTCTGTACTTATTTACTTTTGGGAAGATCTGTTTGTATATCAATAAGTAAATAAATAATTAATGCTCACCTTTTCACTAATAAATTTAATAAATCCTGAAGAATTAAACTAGAGAGCTGGTATCACTGTATAATAAAAAGTTTTAAAGAACTCGAATAACAAACTCACCACATATGTGTTTCTACAATTTATTTTTTCGTAAACTTATGTAATGTAGACAGTTTTAATTCCACAAATATATTTAGTATCTACATTCGCTAAACTTCGCTGCTGTGCTACTCTGAAATATACGCTGTCTGCTGATGGTTATTCCTTCTCGATCACGTTTTCAAATTTTCTAGTTTTCCCCTTCTCTTTCATCAATGTTTCTTGCACAATTGATTTTTTTTTTATTTTCGTATCATTTATATGACTGCTGTATTGTTTTTTGTAAAAGAAAAATTACTGAAGATTCAATAATAAATATAAATTTATTAAACAGAACAGTGTAACGTATTTTAGAGTGATGTATAAACTTTATTTTATGTCATCATGACCTTGTATATGCCATATACTGTGCCTTGTACATAGACCGTGTATTCATAAATAATTAGGTTCAATAAGTATTTCCACTGGCGTATCATTTAACTTATGGTAGGAAATTTAAAAGTTATTCAATAGAATATGTAAATAGTACATACAAATTGAAATAAAAACCAACTTTACTTAATTAATAAATAATTATTATTTTGCTTTAATCCAAAGTTTAGTAAATACCTT